ATACTGGTCCTAGTACTGACCCTTTGGGGACATATGAGAATGCCATGAATCTGCAAGAGGCTCCTGTTTTTCTGGAGGACTGAAAATGCCATGGATCTCTTGATTTTCTGGAGGACTGAAGATCAATTGGTGTGAAGAGTCCTATGCTTCAGTCTTCCTCTTCAAGCTTGGTTACTTGGCTTTGGGAGATGTTTCACTTGGGGCTTTTCTCCACAAAGAAGCTGATCAAACTGGTTACATGGTCTTTTTATGCAATAAAAATAGCTTTTACTCCTGAATTCCACCAGGCATTCAGGAGATGCTGGTGCTTCTGGGGAAACAGCACGTGCACTGGCTTTCCCCTCCAGGTTATGGCTGATCCCTGCTGTATCACAGACAACAGAGTCCTTGCTCCTGCTTCCCCTTCTATCACAAACTATAAAATGGGGCTTGTTCAGTTGTGTGATTAAAGGTCATTATTTTCCATGAACACAAAGGAGCAGAGGAGCACCAGGTGAAGGAACCCAAATAATGTAGTTCCAACAGTGTCCCTGACCTGGCTTTTTCAGGGCTGTCCAAGGAGAATGGTCAACCCAAGTCTAGATATGAGATCCAGCAGACAAGTCAATGCAGGAGGCTTTCCCCACGTCACCTTACTGGCCACAGGGATGTGGGACTCATCATGGCATGCTGGGAAGAGCATTTTGGGATTGTGCAAGACCTATTATGGGATGTTTAGGGGGAAAAGTTGGGGAAAGGAAAGAATCAGAGTGGATCAATGAGGAACAAACAGGAAAATGAGAGGAGGGATGATAGGGGCTGATGACACGTAAGTGGGATGGATGCTTGTCTGTCTGAGCTCTGTCCCTGATCTTCTTATTAAATCCTTTTTTTAGGTTTTTGTTGTTTTTTTTTTTTTTTTTTTTTTTTTGTTATTTTTGTGGGGTGCTAATGCTGCACAGTCTAAGGACCATCAACTGGAGAGACTGATGTGGGTGCATTTGTCACTGTGGAAATATTAAAGACATCCAGCTGGACTAGTTTCAGGTTTTGGAGCAACCATAAATCTGATCAGGATGCTGGAGAGACCAGAAGGTCTGCAAATTGGCTACTGGGAATACTGGGAGGTCTAGAGCAGCTGCTGGAGAGATTGCGAGATCTGGGGGTTGGCTACTGTTAAGGTCATAGGTCTGGAGTAGCTGCTGGGGAGACCCACTGGTCTGTGTTTGTGTATGAAAGAAGGACGTGGACCAGTTAGAACAAGTCCAGAGGAGGCCACCAGGATGATCTGAGGGCTGGAGCAGCTCTGCTGTGAGGACAGGCTGAGAGAGTTGGGGCTGTTCAGCCTGGAGAAGAGAAGGCTCTGGGGAGACCTTCTAGTGGCCTCCCAGTACCTGAAGGGGCTCCAGGAAGGCTGGGGAGGGATTTTTTATAAGGACAGGGAGTGACAGACAAGGGGAAATGGCTTTAAACTGGCAGATTTAGATGAGATATTAGGAAGAAATTCTTCACTGTGAGGATGGTGAGACACTGGCCCAGGTTGCCCAGAAAAGCTGTGGATGCCCCCTCCCTGGATGTGTTGAAGGCCAGGTTGGATGAGGCTTTGAGCAATGTGGTCTAGTGGAAGGTGTCCCTGCTGCTGGCAGGGGGGTTGGAACTGGATGATCTTTAAGGTCCCTTCCAACCCAAACCATTCTATGATTCTGTGAAGCAATGGGGAGACTGGGGGATCCTGGGGCAGCTACTGGGGAGGTGGTCTAAAGCCAATAACTGGAGAGATCCATCTTGTGTGTACGTATATCTATATCTATATCTGTACCTATATCTATATGTGCCTATTTTCCACTAACACCATCCTGATCAGCCAGAGAGGGGGACAAGAGAAAACAATCGGTCTTGTTTGTCTTTGCTTGGGTGATGTTTTTTGCCCATGTTCATCCATATGACTGGACATCTGCATATGTATATATGTTGTACACACGTTGCATACGTGTGTGTGTGCCTTATTGGGATTCCATGCTCAGCTTCACTACTGGAAGGACATGGGACCATAGAGCTGTAGCATCCTCACCTGTACTGGGTTTGAAATTGGGGCTACTGGATTTGTCAACTCCAAACAAGGTCAGCATTACCTTCTCATTGCTTACATGTATATTTTTCTGAACAAATATGATACACTGACACAGGAGAGGAAAAAGCAAATGGGGAAAATCCTTCAGGAGCAATTAATCCCACCCAAGCTTGAGCTGCTAAGTTCTGCCAAGCCCTTACATCGTGTGTGCTGAAGCTCTATAAACATTTCTGATTTACTCAAGTTTGGTGGGATTTTTTTTCACAGAATCATCAAAAGACACTCACAGTTGTTTACCAGGATACTGACTCCATGTGAGTTTGTTCCAGTGCAACCACAGAGGGTCCTATGCTCCCACCTGCCCCCACACCATAACACATCGCTGTGCCATCACCATCTACAGCCACTGTGCTGGTGGTGGAGGTACAGCCCTTTCAGGCACTTTAAAATTAAAAAAAACTATTAAAAAATAAAAATACTTTAGATTTTCTGCAGCCCCCTTGCACTCGAAGGAGACCTAGGTAAAATGCAGTACAGTATGGCCATGGTGATGGTTTACCACATATGTCCAAGAAGTCCATCCAGGAGAAATGCTACTCCAAGGTCCGTCCAGTAGATAAGGCTTGAGAAGGGGCAGGAAACGAGAACTCCTACAGCATGGCTCAGACAGGGACTGGGAGCCCAAAGCTGAACTGAAATGGGGTTCATGGTGATGAGCTGTGGAAGGAAACCCATGGTGATGATGATCAAGGCCAGTAAGGTCAATCAGTGTCCTCAGGGACAAGGTCAATCAGTGTCCTACAGGGCACACATGAGTTTTTCACAGAGCTCTCCAGAACATGTCAACACAGGATCTCAGCAATGAGTAGGGAAGTCATCCCAGCTCCTGATGCCCTGAGGTCCCCAGGAGAACTTCCCCTGGGCATCTGCTTTTCCCCTGTCTGGTCACTGCAGGACATAGGGATCCCTGAGATGAAGTGGGGGTGGATTGTGCATTTGAAGCAAAGGAAGGTTAAACCATAAAGTTCCATGTCCTGTCCTCATTTTGAAACCTTTGCTGGGTGCCTGACTTTGCAGCTTGCTGATCTCTGCCGTTTGGTTTGTGTGAGGCACGTGGAAATGCATCCACAAATGTGTTAGTGGTGAGAGAACATTAATATTAGAAAGAGGGGGTGGGAAGGGGAAAAAAAAACCTGCTTCAACAATTTTTTTTCTCCTTTTCTTCCTTTATCTCTTTATCTGCCTGAATAAACTGCATTGGCTGATTTGAGATTCTGATGACATAGTATCTGCCCTCCTCTTTCTGGAGGTAGACAGAAGGAAGTGGGCTAGAAAATGAAATATCAGCTCCTAACCTCGGGTCAGACAAGCCAGCTACATGCTGCAATGGAAAGGCTGCTAGTGGTTGAACTTCGCTATAAAAAGGAGACCATGACTGGCTTTGAGACACACGCAAGAGGTCTTGGAGAAGGAGAACTCTTGTGCATCTACCTAAAGCAGCAGAGACATTACCATGACTTTTGCCAGCTACGCTGCGGTGGTAAGTGCTTGTATTTGGAGTAAGTGTTTAGATATTTGCTGCAAGAGAAAAAGCAGGATGAAGATCCTATGATGCTGTTACCTAGGAGCAACTCTTGGTGGGAGATGAATAGGATGCTAAAGTCTGACTAATACAGCTTTCTGTCCTGAGCTTTTGCAAATGGGTTTGGTGCTGGAGTGACAGGGAGGCAATAGACCATCCATTATTTATCTGTCAGTTGAGTCCTTACCTCACCTTGTAGATCATAAGGCATTGCTGTTTGACTGTGGAGGAGGACCTTTCATACCTTGTTGGAAGCATGCTCTTCTTGGTGCAGACCCAACTACAAATCAGAATTTGGATCAGAGTTTAGCATTGGTTGTCGTTCGTATTATTAACATCATTGTGCTATTTGCTTGTGCTGGCTCATCTTGCCCAAATGTAAGTATGAAGATCAGCCTAGGCTGAAGGAATTCAGGATAGGACTTATGTTCTGCACCCTTATCCTCTTGCTAGGTCCATTGATGGTCCAGTCTAGTCAAGGCTTGGCTCTTCGTGGTCTCTCTCTCTTGACTGAACTGAGCTAACGACACCTTTCTCTCTCCCAGTTCAGATCACTGCTTTTCATGCTGGTTCTAGCACTAACTGTAAGGAGCTCACCCCATGGGAGGGTAGTTCATCCTCAACCCAGCAAGGATGGTGGCTCTGTGAGGCTTAGTGAAGATTGCCTGAATCAAAAAGATCTCAAATTCCCTACAACGGTGAAAGTTGATGTTCGTATCAGCAATTCAAATCATGCCTTCAGGATGGTCCACGATGTCAGGAACCGGTCTCTTGCTCCTTGGGATTACAGGTATCTCTTTAGTAGTTATTTAAATTGCAGTGGCTATGCTACTCTGATGGTTTTTGTGGTGAACAACGGCTGGTTCTCAGCAGATGTTTGGAGTCTTGTGAATATTGCAGTCACTTCTTGACATGTTCGTTTTGATTTCTCCAAGAGAAACTGTTTGCAGTGCAAGGGGACATCATTGGAATGGTTTCTGATCATTTTGCTAGTCTTTGTCAAAGAATTATTCCTCTAGGAAAAGAAAAATGCCAGTACATTGTAATTTTACATTTTCATAGCTGGAAGCAATTTTTAAATGCTGGAATTAAAAAAGAACAACAAACAAAAATGAATGGTCCACTTGCCATCAGTTCTGCATTTCACCCAGCTCCACTCCATTCATCAACTCCTGAAGAGTGACAGGGCAGTACTACCCTCCCCAAATTGATTCAATTTCTAGGAAATAATTCTAAAAATGTTGAAGGGAGGGAAATTCTTTGGCCTTGTCTCATAGTGAGGACACACAGGCAAATAGTATGATCCTTTCCTGCAGATAAACAAGAAGAGCACTGGAACAGGCTGCCCAGAGAGGTTGTGGAGTCTCCTTCTCTGGAGACATTCAAGACCCACCGGGACGCCTTCCTGTGTGATCTCATTGAGGTTCCTGCTCCGGCAGGGGGGTTGGACTGGATGATCTTTTGAGGTCCAATCCCCAACATTCTGTGATTCTGTGAGAAGATCTTGCCAAACTATGTTGTGCAAGTGCATAAAACTCTTTTATGTCCCTATCCTCAGGCTCGATGAGGATCCCAACCGCTTCCCCCAGGTGATCGCTAACGCCGAGTGCCGCCTCTCCGGCTGTGTGAACCCACTGGGGCAGGAGGACCACAGCCTCAACTCCGTCCCCATCAGACAGGAGATCCTTGTCCTCCGGCGGCAGCAGAAGGGCTGTCTGCCCACCTACCGCCTGGAGAAGAAAGTCATCACCGTGGGCTGCACATGTGTCACTCCAGTCATCCACCACCAGTCCTAGGAAGGATTACTAAGAGAGACAATGTTGGGATGGAGAAATGTCTCCTAGAAACATCCCTTTGGAGAAATCCCATAGTTGCTCACCTTGCATCCCAGGAACTCAAAATGGCATTTCCTTAAAAAAACCTGAGCAAATGACCTCTTGAAAGTACTGATTCCTGCT